ATTGAAGGTTAGGAAGGAATATGAAGTCAAGAGGAATAGCAGCCCACATAAATGAAGATACTCAAACATAACAATTGTCTGGGAATTACTGTTATGGACTTCAAGAGAAGTAGGAGGTTGGTTGTCCAAGGGTCACAGCAGAGGTGACTATTTTAATTGACAGGCTTGGTTCAATAAGATTTTGTTCACTGCAAAGGTCCCTTCTCATGATAAATCTCATAAAAATTGCATGTGTACTCAATTATATATAGGCATAAGATGTTAAATAGGACATAATTTGTGTCATTGTACATGAACCAAAACCAGTCTAGGCTGGATTAGGCCATATCTTTTAGTATCAGGGCATGTTCTGGGACATGTATCACTAAAGAATTGCTAAGAGAGTAACTTATTTTCATTGTGATCAGCCAGCTCACCCTCCTCTACAGTTAAACTATAAGCGAAAGCCAGCCTTTCTTTCCTTCCCTTGATTCTGCTAAGTATGACGTCACAGGGATGAGAAAGAGAACCAACACCGCAGGGAGCCTTCCCTGAGGCTAAGGCCTAGTCTCTGAATTAATTTTCTTTCCTTTGTTCTAGGACATGTCCCTTGTGGTCTCAAGATTTCCCTGACCTTATGTCACCCTGTAATTGGAGGTGACATTTCTTTACTGTTGCCAACAGCACTATGTGCTCTTTATCATCCACTTTTGGAAATTCTTTTTTTTTTTTTTTTTATTTTGCAATACAATTCAGTTCTACATATCAGCCACAGATTCCCTTATTCTCCCCCCTCCTACCCCCCTCACCTTACCCCCAGCCCACCCCCCATTCCCACCTCCTCCAGGGCAAAGCCTCCCCCACGGACTGAGATCAACCTGGTAGACTCAGTCCAGGCAGGTCCAGTCCCCTCCTCCCAGGCCGAGATTGGCTTGATCTGTTTGGGAGGCATCCAGGCAGTGGGACCGGGTCCTGTGCTCATTGCATGAGTTGGCTGTTTGAAACCTGGGGCACTTTTGGAAATTCTTATTTCAAATGACTAAACTCTATAATATACTCACATTGACTCAGGAAAAAGCGTAGAAAAGACTGCACCTTACCTGAGGACATTGGTCTTGACAATTGCATTCTGGGCTGGATTTCAGCCTCTACTTGTATTTTGTAATTGGAAGTTTTCCTGTGTCCCACCAGGTCCCATACCCGCTCAGTCCCAAGTAAACATATAGAGGCTTATATTAATTACCAACTGTATGGCCTATGGCTCAGCCTTATATTAGCTAGCTCTTCCATCTTAAATTAACCCATTTCTAATAATCTATATGTTGCCACATGGCTGTGCTATTACTAGTCTCTTGGCATCTTGTTCCTTGGGCAGCAGGCTGGCATCTCCCCGACTCCACCTTTCTCCTCCCTGTATCTCTGCTTGGATTTCCCATCTGCCTCTAAGCTGCCTTGCCATAGGTCAAAGCAGCTTATTTATTAGCCAATGGGAGCAACACATATTTACAGCATACAGAAAGACACCCCACAGTAACTTTTTATTGATACTTTAATCTCTCTGAGGATGACACAGTCTGTTCATTTATGAACAAGGCTTTGTCCTTAAATATTATACCCAAAACATAAGTATTTTATGAAACATATTTACCCCACCCTGATCTGCAGACCCAGTTTTTTTGTATTTATTTATTTGTTTGTTTATTTTTGCTTTGACATCCTGACTGCAGTTTCCCTTCCCTCCTCTTCTTCCAGTCCCTTCCCTCACCTTTCCTTCCACCCACTCCTCCTCCATTTTCCTTCAGAAAAGGGAAGGCATTCCATGGTTATCAGCCAGCCAGGGTATATCAAGTTGCAGTGATACTAGGCATCTCCCCTTCTATTAAGGCTGGGTGAGGCAACCTGGTAGAAGGAAAAGATCCCAAAAGCAGGCAACAGAGTCAGAGACAGCCCCTGATTCCACTGTTAGGAGCCCCAAAAGAAGACCAAGCTACATAACTGTAACATATTTGCAGAGGGCCTAAGTCAGTTCCATGGAGAACCCCTGGTTGTTGGTTCAGTCTCTATGAGCTCCTATGAGCCAAGATTGGTTGATTCTGTGGGTTTTCTTGAGGTGTCCTTGACCCCTCTGGTTCCTACAATCCTTCTTCCCCTTCTTCCACAGGATTCCCTGAGCTCTGCCTAATGTTTGGCTGTGGGTCTCTGCATCTGTTTTCATCAGTTGCTGGGTAAAGCCTCTCTTACGATCATTGGGTTTGGCCCAAATCTATGAGTATAGCAGAATGTCATTAGGAATCATCTCATTGACTTCTTTTCCAGTCATGTTTGGTTCTATCCTAGTTCTTTGGGCTATCCTGCCCCTGGGTTCTGGCCCTCCAGCCGGTGTAATGGGTGAGCTCCCTCTCATGGTATGGGTCTCAAGCTGGACTAGTTACTGGTTTGCCACTCCCACAATTTCTGCTTCACCCTTACCTTAGCATATCTTGTAGGCAGGAAAAATTGTAGGTTGAAAATTTTTGCCTGGGTTGGTGTTCTAATCCATCCACTGGAAGTCTTGCTTGGTTATAAATGTCCAGTTCAGTCTTCATATCTCCCATTGCTAGAAGTCTTAGCTGGGTCACCCTCATAGATTTCTGAGAGTTTCCATTGCACTAGGTGTCTTACTTAGGGTGTCTATTGCTGTGAAGAGACATCATGGCCATGGAAACTCTTATAAAGGAAAACATTTAATTGGGGTGGCTTACAGTTTCAGAGGTTTAGTCCATTATCATCATAGTGATACATGGCAGTATGCAGGCAGACATGGTGCTGGAGAAGGAGCTGAGTGTTCTACATCTTGATCAGAAGGCAACAGGAAATGAATTGTGTGTTACACTGAGCATAGCTTGAGCAAAGGGGACCTCAAGGCCCACCCCATGGTGACACACTTCCTCCTTCAAGGCCACTCCTACTCTAACAAAGCCACACCTCCTAATGGTGTCACCACTTCTGGGGCCCATTTTCTTTCAAACCATCACGCTAGGTTTCTAGCTCTTCCCAGATATGTCCCCCAATTCTAGTTGTCTCTCCCTCCATCCTCCCCCCAACTTGGACATATACCCAAAAGACACTCCACTATACCACAAGGACACTTGCTCAACTATGTTCGTTGCACCTTTATTTATAATAGCCAGATACTGGAAATAACCTAGATGTCCCTCAACCAAACAAGAATGGTACATTTACATAATAGAGTATTACCCAGCTGTTAAAAACAATGACATCATGAAATTTTTTAGCAAATGAGTGGAATTAGAAAAGATCAACCTGAGTGAGATAACCCAGACTCAGAAAGACAAACACAGTATGTTCTCACTTACAAGTGGATATTACCCTACCAGCTATAAAGCACAGGATAACCATTTTATAATCCACAGACCCAGAGAAGCCAAGTATCAAGGAAAGCTCAAGGGGGGAACACATGAATCTCATTGTGAAGGGAAAAATAGAATAGAAATCTCTGGTGGAGCTAGTGGATGGGGGAGGGGGTCTCAATGGGAGGTGGGAATGGGAACAGGAGGGATCAGGTGCAGACCCAATTTTAAAGCAAATAACAAATGGAATAGTTTGTAGAAGTACTTGATTCAGATTAAAAGTTTTTTTTTTCCTTTTAAAGTATAAGCATTATAAAATCAAATTATGTAATTAAAAAATGTAAAAAGAATAAGATTAAAATCACCATTTCTTGGAGCAAAGAATTGACTTTTATCTGTTATAAGTATCATCATTTTCTGTAGTTGGAACTGGATCTTATCTCTATAAACATCAGAAGTGTCCAAGTCTCCATAATGAGAATTCATGAAGTTCCATAAAGGAAACGGGACTGAGTGGTTGTTTCTCCTTTCCCAGCCTTGATGACCTTGAAGAAGGAAGTGATGACATCAGATTAGTTTTGATGGATCTGGTCACACACTTCCTCCTTTACTCACATTGCCTTGTCTCTATGAGCCACCCCTAGCTTTTCATCATTGCCTGCTTCTTTGAATGATTTTCTGTCCCTGCAGTCAGATTTTTCTCTTTACTTGAGACTACAAAATGAGCTATTTACTCCTACCCAGCATGACCGGAGGTGAAAGAGCATGAGGTGTCACGGAACAGTGGGAGAGAAGGAGGTGCAATACCTAAGGGCAAGGGTTGAGTGGAGGGTTTTCAGTGGACAGAAGGTCAGGAAGAATGTGCAAAATGCATGCCTGGTACAGCTGCAATGAGGAGGGTTTAGAATGTTGACAATGGTCCTGAGAACTGGGGGTCTCTATAACATTACTGTATGACTCAGGAGCTCAGCCCCTACATTTCATTTGTTTCTACTACAATCTTAGACTTGCTTTAATATGCAATGAATCCTGCAGGGATGCGTGTGTCAGTGTGACAAGAGGGGGGATTCTGGTATTTTTGTGGTCTAATTTGCTCCAGGTATCCTTATATATGTGCTGTGAGTTCTGCTCATGAACCTTAGCACTGGAAATTATTCCTATGTTGTAGATGAGGACCTTTAGTTACTTCATGTCATTAGTCAGCTTGAAAAACTACAGAGCCAGAATTTGAAAGACATCTCTTAATCAAAGCAACATTTATATTGGGTAATCTCTATGCTTTAATAAATTCAATACTTTCATTACTTAATTTAGGATGAAATATCTGGCTGTTTTGAAACTGGGCTGGCTTACAACTCACTACGTAGACCAGGCTAGCCTCCAACTCACAGAGATCCACCTGCCTCAGTCTCCTGAGTGGTAGAATTAAAGGTATGAGCCACCATGCCCTGCCCATAACATAACAGCTTTTGAGAATCTTTCTGAATTTCTGTTCTTCTCTATGATTAAAATGATCATATTTTAAAGGACAGAAAGAAAAGTTTACATATATTAACTGGAAAACTTGTTTCCTTCCACCTGTTGAATTTTCTTTGCAATATCAGCAGTCATTTTAGTATAATATTAAAAACATAGTTCTTAGGAAGGAGGATGTTCCCCTAGAGCACACACCTTCATGTTACTGTGCCTTGTAGATCTCAGCTGCACTTTATCCTCGTTTGATGTCAATTCAAAGCACAAGAGTCTAAGTTTATCTCCTGGATTACAGTCAACACTGGTCAGTCGTCCATAGACTACCACTTCCATCACCCCTGTATTATCTTGAATTTCATAGTAAATGAAGTCCTTCCTTTGATTTTTCTGAAAAAGAAAATAATACTCATCTTCTGAGAAATGGCCAGACACTGTCACATCTATGAGAAGTAAAGGGTGCCCACAGAATCTTGACTTTGACAGGACAAACAGAGCTAAAAGTTGGGACCTGGGGGGAGCAAAACATCATCAGATATTCTGCGTTGCAAATCCTGATTTATAAACCTTTTTCAAACTTTAGTATAGACTGGGGTGGCTAATCTTGGTTGTCAGTTTGACCATATCTGGAACCAATTAAAACCCAAGCATCTGGACACATAGGTGAGGGATTGTTCTTGACTGGATCATTTGAGGTGTGAAGACTAATCCTAATTCCAGATCATTTGAGGTCAGGAGACCCATTATAAATCCAGGCCACACCTGATGGCAGCATACAGAAAAGGACCTGGAAGAAGCAAGTTTTGCTTTTTACCTGCTAGTCCTCACTACCACAGGCCACTTCATCAACTCTGCTCCTAAGATATTTCTTTACTGTAGAAAGATAGAACCCAGTGCATTCCTGACTCAGTGCATTTTGGGGCAGAAAAGTTTGCTTTGGTTTGTATTCTGGTTGTTATAACCTGTACCCCATTTTAGGAGGTCAAGTCTCATTCACCATCAAGTTCTTAATAATGTAGGAGGTGGAGGACTCAAAGAAACAAAATCTTAATGATACGAGTATTAATGTAAATGTCTACGAATGGCACAAATAGATGGTGTTGCTTAAAAAATGCCAGAGTCTCTTGGCGAATTTCTTTCTAAAGCAGTTTTCATCATGGTACCTTGAGAAGTATATTGAGACTGTTTTTCACATGTAAAAACAAGAAACCCTAGTTCCCGACGCTGATCAAGGAGGCCTTGAATTTTGGCATGCAATAAGTTAACCAAGATAATCTGTCAAGATAAGACTGAAAATCTGAGATTGCAGAAGAAATTTTACAAAATAATGCAGTGGCTTACCTTTGACACCATAAACACTCCATTCACAAATATTCCTCTTCTTTTTGAGTAAAGATCATTGATTTTAGGTGTTGCATTGGCTCTTTGCCTCAGTGTGGTTGGGATATCCATTAATTGGTTATCATTTACCTCTGACACACTAGAGGCACTAAATATATTTATGAACCCATTTCGGCCAACATAATCTGAGATGGTAATGACCTTGTTTGGAATGAACTTCTCCTTCAGGTCAATATCAAACACCTTCACTCTGAAGAATTCAGTCTTAGTGGCCACTGTGGCATGGAACATCCTTTTCTCCCGTGACATGTCATATGTGAATGGTTCTGTTGCTTTTAACACCATTACTTTTTTGGGACCTTGATGGTGACCCTCTTCCTTAGATGGTTGCTTAGGTACAGTCTTCCTTCTTGGTTTCTGCATAGAATGTACACAACAAAAATGGCACAATTAAGACAGCTAATTAGGAAGAGTGAAAGAAAAATCTGAGCAATAGCTTGCATGGTATAACAGTTCGTGGAAGAAATGGAGATACAGGTAATAATGTCAGTTGGTGCCAATCATACCTAGTAGATAAGAGGATTATATGTGCATTTCTCTAGTGTCGGCAAATGAAGCAAAGGTAACCTGAATAGTAACTCACAGTATGACAACACTTGACAAAAAGTGCACAGGACTTGAGGAGCAGCTATCACACACTTCCTTTAGAAATAAAGGAAGTTTAGCTACAAGTGTTTTCAGAAAAGACTAGAAACCACCTAAAACTGAGCCACACAGGATTATCTTTATAAACTACTCATGGATTGTTTCAGATAATAAAATCAGTTACATTGACAATTGGTTACTTGATTGTCAGTTCAACATATATTAACTTACATTATTTTAAATATTTTAAAAATTGTTTTTTCCCCATGTGTATGAGTCTAAGAATGTTGGCATGTGTGTGAGCGAAGGAGAGTGGAGGACCTCCTATGGTGATAGTCTTTGCTTTTCGCCTGTCTGAGACAGGACTTTTCCTGTTCACAGTTGTATGCCAGGTGAGTTGGCCCGTGAGCTGCTGGGGAATCTTGTGTGTCTGATCTCCCCCATAGGAGCACACTGTGATTATAGACATGATTGCTACACTGTCTGGAGTTTACTTTGTGTGCTGTTAGTTTTTGTCAACTTGACACAAACTAGAATTACCAGAAAGAGGGAATCTAGACTGAAAAATTTCCTCCATTAGATTGGCTTGTGGCCCTGTTTGTAGGACATTTTTTTTTGTTATCAATGATTGATGTGGGAAGGCCCAGAGCTCTGTGGGTGGTGCCACCTCGGACAGGTGTTCCTGTATTATATGAGAAACAAGCTGAGCAAGTTAGGGGGGGTCAAGCCAGTAAGCAGTGTTCCTTCATGGTCTCTGTTTCAGTTCCTACCTTCAGGTTCCTGCCTCGGCTTCCCTCAATAATGGAAGCTTAAGCTGAAATAAACTCTTTCCTTCCAAAGTTGCTTTTGTTTAGAATGTTTCATCATGGCAACAGAAAGAAAGCTACGACAGGGTTTAATGAGCTAGTCCAAGGTTGTAGTAACCACCACCATTATGTTGTGAAAACAGAAAATTACCTTGACTGGTATTGCTGGGGACACTCCAGCAGCCTGAGCACTGCTGGATGCTGTTTCTGGAGATAATTCAGGGACCTGGACACTGCTGGATGCTGTTACTGGAGATACTTGAGTGGCTTGGTCCCTGTTAGAAGCAGTTGCTAGAGATAACCAAGGAGCCTGGACAATATGGGAAGGAATAGGCAGCACCTTAAAGGTCAGAAGGCTCTTGGGGGCTATTGCTATAGATACCTGAGGAGTCTGGCAAACATGTAAGATGGTGCAGTAGGCTCCTGAGTGTAGTCAGAAGATTTCCTGTGTCCTGCCCAGTCTTGCAACCTCTCAGACCCAAGTAAACACAGAGACTTACATTATTCACAATCTGTATAGTCTACGGCAGACCTCTTGCTGGCTAGCTCTTATATCTCAAATTAACCCACAACTATTAATCTATGTACTACCACATGTTTCATGGCTTTACCTGTGTTTCATTACGTGTTGCTCCTTGGGCGGCTGGCTCGTGGTCTCCTTCCTTCTGCCTTTCTACTTCTTCTCTATCTGCTTGCATTTCCCACCTCCCTCTAAGCTGCCTTGCCATAGGCCAATACAGCTTTATTTATCAACCAACCAGAACAACACATATTCACAGCATACAGAAAGGCATCCCACAGCACTTCCCCTTTTCTGTCTAATCAAAACACAAGCAGACAAGGAGAATTCTGGGAATAGGAAGGGCTGAGTCAGGAGTCACCAGCCAGACAAGGAAGAAGCAAGATGACAAAACAGAACTAAGAGAAGGTATCAAGCCACGTGACTAAACCTAAGTAAGAATTATGGGTTAATTTAAATGTAAGAGCTAGACAGTAATAAGTCTGAGCTAATGGCCAAGCAATTATAATTAATATAAACTTCTGAATTTTATAAGTGGGCCACAGGACTGTGGGGGCCTGGTGGGACTGGAGAAAGCTTCCAGCTACACCCGAGGCACTTGCAACAACAGTTCTTTACTTCTGGAGGTATCTATTTAGGTTAAAGTCTTTTAACTGACCATCTAACAGAGAGGATTGAGCAGATACCATAACAGACTGCTCAGTCTTCTGTCAGAGATCAGGCTTCAATTTCAGTTTCCTGAGACTGAGCAAGCAGTTTCTGAGGGAGAAGCCATGAACAAAGGGCAATTAATCACTGGTGCCCTGAACAACAGGGATGAGGGAGATAGGATGTACCCAGCCTGGGTCACTGAGCCAGCCCCCACAATCAGCCCATACTAGGCAATCCAGCCTCCACAACAACTCAAGGTGATAATCAAATAAGGACAAAGACTGGGACTTGTCCAGGCCTGCCCTAAAATGGAAAAGCTGTAGCCTTAACCTTGCCCTGACTAGCCCTAGCCAATTAGAATGTACTAATATGACTGTCACTTGTTTAATCCAATCATATCTAAGATGACCTAATTTCCCTAGAAACTCCTCTTGGCTGTGCTTAAAAGGAGCCCACATGTTCCTCTTGGGGTTGTCACCATTTTGCCTTTGTGTGGGATGATCAGCCCCAGCATGCTGGGATCTTTTCTCAAGACAATAAATGCTCTTGTTAATTGCATACATGGATGGTGGCCTTTTGTGGGACTTCTCCAGGACCCTAACACTAATTACTCTAGTTAAATTAAACTACTGCATAGTCTGTTGAGATCAAAATGATTTCATAATGGTAAACCTCCCCCAAGAAGAAGATTTATTTTAATTGAGGTTTAGATATAAGCATTTGGTAATATGATGAATGTTTAATCTTATGACAGAGTTGTAAAGTCTTCAGGTTTTGTGGGTTTGTTTCCTCTTCTCTCAGTGATCAACCTTTTTTTCTCTTGATAATGGCTGATTTTCCCTTTTCCTTTTTCTGTTGGAAACTAAACCCCAAGCATTATGCATGACAAGCTATTCTCTCCTCTCCTATTGTACTTTATTCTGAACCCCTAGTCATGGTTTTCAATGTTAAAAGAAGCACAATAACTTTAACACCAAGAGAATCAACCTTTCATCCCTGAGAAAAGTATCCTCTGAACAGAGAATCAGAGGTAGGATTGTCTCATATTGGAACAAACATTTCATTTCCATCACTCTTCTATGCATCTCTGTAAGCAAGTCTATATTTAGAAAGCCCAAGTTGAGGTTTGATGTCTTTTAAAAGGCTTTGGAAAGCTATGTGCTTAAACTGACTGCTATTGTATCAATGTCTGAAAGAAGAACAATGATTTAATCTATTTTATATACCTTTATTGTGCATGTTTCAGTGAATGTGCCACTAAGGCCATAAGACATCTTATGGGTGTTAGTTCTCTCATTCTGACATGTGGGATCTGGTAACTGAGCACAGGTCATTAGAAGGCAGTAAGAAGTACCTTTACCTGTTGAGACATCTCACTTGCCTGAGTAGTGATTTTTTATTCCTATTGTATAGAATTACATGATACAAGTTAAAGTATGCAGTAGTCCTGACACATGAATGACCAGTATGTATGAAATTGGTTACTCCAAATCTCCATTTTTGCTAGATCCTATGACTAGACAGACAGCTAAATCTTCACTCAATGGTAAAAAGGGGAGGAACTTTAGTAGAGTTTCCATTGGGAGCTTAGCCACCATACCTGTGTGTTGGATGTACTCCTGCCAAATTCTGGTTCTGAATCTTCATTTGTGGTGGACATAGGTTGGGAAGTACTGGCTTCATCTCGCTTGCATCCTCTTGTTGGAATTCTGCATCTTTCTATCTGTTTCCTTTTAGCTGATGCAGGAGAGAAAACACAGTAAACTCAAGGACATCACTCTTAGACAGCTCGAGTTTAGTTAGTATTATTTGCTCTCAGGTTCTGCTTGTCTCATGGTGTTTGCCTACCTCTGTCTCAGAAACTTGATGAGGCCACGAGGTGTCATATGCTACCAAGTCAGGCACAGGACTGTCTCAGGGTTTCCTTGTTCTCTCTAGTTGCAGTGGACACAGTCTTCCCATCCTGGGGACTTCTGTGTCCATCAGTCAAGCCCTGCCCCAGTCCTCTTATCATACAGTCTGTTTTTTAAGAATTTAAAGTTTAGGTCTGGGGAGATGTTTCAGTGGGTAAAGCCCTTGCTCTGAAGCATGAAGACCTGAATTCAGATATCTGGTGACAACTTAAAAGTGCCCATCTAGAACTCCCAGGCTGAGCAGGCAGATGTAGTCATCTAGCTTGCCTGTTGAGCTGAAAATGAGAGCCTCATGTTCATTAAGAGAACTTTCCTCAAAAAACAACACAAGGAGCAATGGAGGAAGACACACAGTGTTGGCCTCTGACCCCTAAATGCTTGTATAATGACAATCATTGACAAACCATCTTCTGTAGATGATCACTCCAGATTAGAGAATCATTGAAAGAAATGATCTGATTTGTGATATGACAAAACTATGCCATTTACTTTGTCTTCTTACCTTTTGTTTCTGTTTGGTTTTATCTTTTAATTTGTTAATTGCTTGTTTGTGTGCTTCTTTTAATGCAAAGTCTAGCTACAAAGACCAGGATGGTTTTAAACTGAATATTTCCTTGTTCCAGCTTCTTTATTCCTAGGATCATAGATGGGAGTCTCTATTTCCAAATTAGTCATATTTTCTTTTCCCAGTGACTATATAAAATAGAACTACTTCCTATCTCTGGGAGGTAGGCTTTTACTTAATTATTGACTACTTTATTTCTTTTGTAGAATAGATAATGTTGAGTGTCTTAATGGAGCATTAACACTAATTGATTTAAATATCTTAAAATAAGAATTATTCTAATATTTATTTTATAATTTTCTCATCTTTATACAGTAATAGAAGGTCTCATCTCTTTCAACAGCTTCTGCATTTTTATTTGCCCCAATGCCCTCAAAGATATCCAATCCCCAAGTGTAGAATTCTTTGTAAGAAGTAAGTTTTGTAAGCTGTCAATTTTTGACATCTGAAATACTGCCATTCTATAGCTCCTGAGGCACACACTGTGAAAGCCATGTCAGTTATGATCACTGCATGGAGCTAGCATGCAGTTGGAGAAATTAAAGAAAGGGTGGGAATCCAGGATACCCCCCTATTACCTTTTGCCTTCTCTTTTTTGAGTTTATCAGCAAGGTCTCCAAGTCCTGGCATCTCTTTATACAGGTCTATCAGTTGGTCCATTCCAGCATCTTTTGGGAACTTGTCCTCCATCATGTCAGCAATCTTAATTCTGTCATAATCATCTTGCATTTTTCTATTTAGTTTTAGTTCTTTGCTCAACAAGGATTTAACCATTCTAAAATCATCGTCACTGATACCCATTAGTCCTACCAGAAGAACAATTTTCTTGTATTCATTCACCATTTCTTAAATTATGGGTGAACCTAAATGAGAATAATAGCATACAGAATTACACACATTCACAGACAATTTCAAAAACATGATAAACCTAGGTGAGCGAATGACCCATTCCACAGTGCTCATAGTTGTATTTATGAGAGATAGAGTTAATTCCCAGATGTGTCACTTTGCAAAAGGAATATAGACCTAATCTGTTAATAAACAAGTCCAGAAAATTCTTCCCTGTTAACAACAGTATCTGACTTAGGTCTGTCATGGTTTGTAGTGGAAGAAAGTGGAAATAAATAATTGTTTAGAGTATGGGTTATGAGTGTTGTCTTAGTGTTACGACTACTGTGAAGAGACAACATGACTATGGCAACTCTTATAAAGAAAACATTTAATTGGGGCCGTCTTACAGTTTCAGAGGCTTAGTCCATCATCATCATGATGGAGAGCATGGTAGCATGCAGAAAGACATGGCACCAGAGAAACAGCTGAGCATTCTACATTCACAGGCATCAGGAAGAGAAAGCCACCAGGCTTGGCTTGGGCTTTGGAAACCTCAAAGTCCACCCCCAGTGACATACTGTCTACAAGGCCACAACTATTCCAACAAGGTTACACCTTCTCATCCTTACAAATAGCACCACTATATGGTGACCAGGCATTCAAATCTGTGAGCCTATGGGGACCATTCTCATTCACACCACCAGAAGTGTTGAAATTCTGGATCTTCTTTCTAATATTCATTGATGTTGGAGCCTATTGCTGGATGTCTGCCCATGGGTTCCTGACTCTTCTCACACTCTTGACTGACGTGTCTTATGTACAAAGGAGCTGCATACATAACTATTGGTTGGCTACAACACAATGGCCCATTCTGGGGCCACTGACACTTGCCCACTTGGCTTGAAACATCTCTCACTGGCATTCTGCTTCCCATGGTGTTAAATCCTGGTCTCAGGGTCCTCTGTGCCTATATGACTGTTACTGTGCTGAGCATCTACATACTTTCAAGAGTCAGGTCATAGAATTTATTGGATAGGATTATATCAATACTTGTTTGTTTTTTCTCCTTTATGCTTTGATATCATGAGTCAGTTTTATTTCTTCATAGAGTCTATTTTCTGTATATAAGTCTTGATTAAATTCAGTTTTAATCCTCCAATCATTCCTCGATTTGTTAAAAAAAAATCTTGCTCCTTAAAACATCTTGGGAGGCCTTGAATGATCTGTGCCTTTGCATTTGTTTCTTTATACCTAGTGTGAGAAGCTTTAGGGTTACAGTCTTCCCTTACTTGTCCTGCTTTGTGATGTAGCTAATTAGGGTTTCATTATCATCCTTGCAGTTCTTGTTGTCTGCCTTCCCATGGTGACTTTTAAGAAGAAAGGGAAATGAGACTTGTCTTCTGCAAACTTCCAGAATGCCTGAAAGAACATAGTCTTGTGAGTTTGGATCTGATAAGCCCTTTGTGTACTTCCTTGATGACTCAGCATATGGATGGAGTCCAAGTTAACATAAATCTATAAGTTATCTGTGTTATATTTTGTATATCTTTTGTATAATGGGAATTATATATTACATTTTCTGGGTCTGTTCACTACTTTCCTTTTGTGAAAAGTTAAGCATGGTTGAAAAGGCCCAGATAGTGAAAGGAAAATTCATCTATTGACACATCACAGTTTAGATGATTAAAGACATTAAAGAAAGAGAATGCTCTATAAACCTTCAGACATGGAGACTATTATCTTAGGGTTTCTATTGCTGTGATAAAACAATGACCAAAAACAACCTGGTGAAGAAAGGGTTATAACCTGCAAGGTCTTGCCTTAAAATCCTGCCTCGATTTCACTTAATGATAGACTGTGGTGTAGAAGTTAAGCCAACATAAACTCTTCCTTCCTCAGGTCACAGAGGAGTGCTGCTTACTGGCTTGTTCCCCGTGGCTTGTTCAGCCTGCTTTGCTTTAGCACCCAAGGACCACCAGCCCAGGGATGGCACTGCCCACAGTGAGCTGGGCCTTCCACAGCAATCATCAATCAGGAAGATACTCCACAGGCATGTCCAAGGGCCAGTCTGATTTTCTCAATCAAAGTTCTGTTTTACAAAATGACTCTAGTTTGTGTCAAGCTGACATGAAACTAGCTATCACAGCCAGATCACCTGCAAAGATTCAAGGACAAAATTAGAACTCATTATCAACAGCAAGTTGCCTTAAGCAAAAGTGTATGGATTTATATATACTGTTTCATGATGTCATAAACCAAAAAGCTTTAAAAATATGTTTTGATTTGTTTAATGATTTGTGACAAAACACATATCTCCAAAAGATGTGTGATGACAGGAGATATGAGTACATTGTGTGCAACCCACTTACATGTGAATCATCATATTTTGTTGTTAAAGTACTGTCTTGATCTGGTGGTAATGATCCCTATCTCAATGAAGTTTCCAGTAATATAGTATTTAAGAAATAGGCATTCATTAATTTCCATCTGCAGATACCATATTCTGGATAGGAAAATCTATTTTCACTGGTCTAAAGAGATGCCTTCAACTTACTATGAATTAAAAACAAAAAAGAAACAAAACTTGCTGCTAGTATCTTAACCTAGATAAAATGATAATAACCAAAATATACTGTCTGACGCTACAAACCTTACTGGTTTCAAAAGCCAAAAACATAGAAAAAGATATTATGATTAACTGTGAGAAAGCAGTAAGTAAAGTCGAGACTACCACAGAGTGAAAACTAAGCAGAAACACAAGCTTTGCTGGCCTTGCCTCTGCATTACGAGGGAATCTCTGATCAAAGAGAGGAGAAACAGGAAGGATGTGCGGCTGCAGGAGGGAGGCAAAGGACGCAAAGGTTCACTAATGGTTTCATCTTAAACTGTAAGACATAACTTATAAAGAAAAGATAAGTAGGAGAATATAGAAGTATTACAAATGAAATAACTATAGCAAGAGCAAGGGAATAAAAGAAGGTATTAATTATCGGTCTGAATGTAAACGCCATAGTCAGTTAAGTAAAAGTTTTTGCTGACTTTTACTTAAGATATGTAGCTATTGTTAAATTAATGATAATCAAGCTACAATCTGTAGAACCACAAAGGGTAGGTGTTGAGTAAAGGACTAGAGCTTTGGTTCTCAACCTTCGTAATGCTGTGACCCTTTAATAGCTCTTTATGTGGTGACCCCAACCATAAAGTTATTTTAATTGCTACTTCATGACTGTAATTTTGCTACTGTTATGAATCATAATGTAAATATCTGATAAGCAGGATATCTGTGAAAGGATCTTTCAAACCCCCCAAGAGGACCTATCCACAGATTGAGAAACTCTGGACTAGAGTGAAGAGACAGATCTCCTTAAGAAAGGGTAATAGAATAATTATTGATGGATGGGAGGCTGAAATAGGAGGGTAGAATGGGGAGGGGAGAAAGGAGTTGTGCAAGGGAATATGGTGAGCGACATCTAAAATTAAGAGCCATTTGAGGGGTAGTATGGAAACCTAATGCAGTAGAAATCTAAAATATATACATATATATGAAGGCAATCTAAATGAAATTGCAAAATAATGGGGGAGAGAGAGTCCCATCTAGCCATTGCCTGTTACCAAATGAAGCTTCCACTATTGGGATTGGCTTACATTCAATTGAGTTGTCGTCCAAAGGGGCCCCACAGAAATCCCCAAACAACCTAGACTGTTGTCAGTTTGTTGCTCTCCACAAACTGACAGCAGGGCTCCATTGCTGAAGACAACACCTACACAACTCGTTGAACATGTAGATGTCAAGTTAGTGCCCTCATTAACCCTACTTGCTAATAGCTTTGGTACAGAAAGGTAGTCTGCACACCACCAAAAGAGAAATATAAACATCAACCCAGCTACAAACCCTTTGATCCACAATGGTGTACTTTGTGAAAGATTTGCTAGGGCAATGGTGGCACAAAACTTGTGAGAGAAACCAATCAATAACTGATTTGACATAAGGTCCACACCATGAGATGAAACCAATACCTGACACTGCTTGGGTGACCAAGAACCAAAGACTAGATGGCACAGGGACCTAAAGGAAAGCCAAATAATAGATGTCTAAAAAGAAAAAAAAGAAAAGAAAGAAAAGAAATGCAGTGATGAACTGTCTCCTGAAGATTTTCTGCTATACTCATAGATCTGCTATACTCATCATCAGAGAAACATCCTCCTGTAGCAGATGGGAACACATATAGACACTCCACAGCCAGACATTATGCAGAGAATACGAGACATTACAACACTCAGTCCTCCATGTGATGTTTCCATCAGATCCCTCCCCTCAGAGCTCAGGGAACCCTGTGGAAGAGGAGGATTCAGAAAGAGTTTTAAGAGCCATGGGGGATGGAGGCCTTCAAGAAAACAAGATCCTCTAAACCAACCCAAGCAAAGCTCATATGAACTCACGGAGACTGAAGCAACATGCACAGGGCCTCTACAGGCCTACATTAGGTCCTTTGTTTACATTATGGATTCCTGTTTAGTGTTTTTATGGGATTCTTAAGTGTGCAAAGGAATGGATCTCTGATTCTTGTGCCTTCTCTTGGACTTTTCCTTCTGTTTCTTTGTCTTGTCCAAATTGGATGTGATAGTTTTTGTTTTACCTTACTATACTTTATTTTATTGTATTTTTTTTTTAAAAGAATGAAAACCTAGCCAGTAAGGTAAAAGTTAGCAACTGAACTGTCATTTATATCTGCTGGGAGATGGAAAATCAATGGAGCGACACCGGGTATATCAGTCTCTCCAGGGAAGGCCTCATATTCAGGAATAGTTGACTAACACATAAAGGACTCTACAGTTTTTTGTTTGTTTGGTTGGTTTTGCTTTTTTTTTTTGGTGTGTGTGTATGTGCTTTTATTTGGTTACAGTTTGATGGTTTGCTTTATTTTTAGGTATTTTATTTTGTTTTCTTGGTTTTTGGGGTTTTGTTGAGCTTTTTTTTTGAGAAAGAACTTAAAGTTAGGTGGGTAGGGACA